ACATATTGGCATATCGGATATCAGCCAAAAATCCAATATCGTGCATCTGTTCAATCCTCATTTTCTGTGAAACAGTAGCATCTGCTGTGATGCTTACACTTCTAATGGAATCTCACAAATGTTAACGTTTTATATATATCAAGATAATTCAGACAGTTTGTAATTGCTGAGAAACACTCAACTTCATTTGGGCATATTATTTCTGAGCTGGGATATCAAGGCTCCCCATAGGGTTTGTGTTCAGCCTAATATTCAGCAGTGGTTGGCACTTAAACCAAAATTTCACAGGTAGAGTTCGTACTGACCATTAAAAACCTTGACACATACAGAACGACTGTTTATGTTTTTGGTTGTATTTATTTTTTTTCTGTAATTGAGCCCAAAAATTATTTGCACGCTTATGTTTTTTCTTCATCTTAGCTGTTCTGGTTATTTCCACAAAAAAAAGGCCAAAATTGAGATGTCAAACAACAGAAAATAGAAATAGAAAAATCTTGGTTCATCCTGATTTAATGTCAAAGATTTTGTAAAGGTTAATAATTTCTGCAGAGTTCAGCCTTGAGCTTGAAACCAATGTCAGTAAAACAGTCATGTCTGAAGTTTTGACATCGCTTGACATGAAGCGCTTATCCACAAAAAATGAAGAAAACTAGATTGTTGAATGTCATTGTTAGATAAAGATATCTGGTGGCTCTTCATGCTCAAAGAGCTGTCAAGACTTTTAATGTATGTGAAATAAACAAAAAGAAATTTGAGCATTTTGAAAAATTTGAATGATTTAGAAATATCCATTTTCTGTGGTTTCTGGGGTCACAGGACACCCAGACAACCCTGTCTTCAACGACACTATCCAGCTCCTCCAGAGCCACCTGTAGACATCCTATTCAGCTACTTGAAACACATCTGCTGACTTTTTTCAATGAAGAGGAGTGACGGCTCTATTCTGAGCTCACCCCCGGATGACAGAGCTCGTCACCTTATCTCTAAGGCTGAGCCTGGCCACTTTACAGAGGAAGCTCATTTCAGCTGCTTCTATCCAGGATCTTGCTCTTTGGTCACATCCCACATCTTATAAATGAGGGCTAGAACAAAGATGGAACAGTAAATACAGAGCTTTGACTTTTGACTCAGTTTCTTTAGAGATGGACCAAATCAGCACCCTCCAGATCTCCTGCTCCATCCTACCATCACTCAACAATAAGCCTCCCAGATACATGAACTCATTCGCATGAGGCAAAGACTCGCCCCAACTCCAAAGGATCATTCCACCTTTTTAAGGTTGAGAACCATGACCTCAAACTTAGAGGAGCTGACTCTAATCCCAGCCGCAATCTGCTTGCAGCACACGCTAAAGGCTAGTTCGAAGACACCAACAGAACCACATCATTTGCAAACAGCAGAGATGACTGCTACTGACTCCTATTCACTACTGCACCTTGACATCCTGTCCACAAACGCCACGAACAGGATCAGAGACAACAGACAGCCCTGGTGGAATCCAGCCTTCTATAGATGCATGCAATTTCAATTGAACCTTTATTTATACAGGTTAGTCTCATTGAGCCTCGAGTACTCATTTACAAGAGAGACCTGTTTTAAACGAAGAACTCAGATAACAACAGTAGACAGTCATAAAAAAGCATAAAAATGAAAAGTAAATGGAAGAAATGATTTTAAAAAACAGCTCCATTATAAAGCGATATAAAACACTAAAAACAGGAACATGTCTGCATTGTTTTTTTCCATGAACTTAGCAGTTGTTTAAAGTCACTTAGAGAGGTCAAGGTTGAGAGCTTCAGATCTATTTGCAAGATAGTCCAGGAAACAAGAGCAGAGTAGGAGAAGGCCCTTTTGCCAAGTTCGGTCCACACTGAGGGGGCACTGCAAGTAATAATGTCCTGAGAGCGCACGCTGTAGCTGCACTCACGTAGTGACATGTAGGAGGAGATATATGAAGGCAGCAGACCAAGGAGTGAGTTAAAGATGAAAATGCACCAGAGAGAGTCTGCGTGAAGTTAATAATGACCAGTTAACCAGTGAATACATGATGTAGTGATGGGTACAGTACAGCCAGTTATGAATCTTAGCGCACCATGATAGACAGCATCCAGCATCTGCAGGGTGCTTGTAGGGGCGTTCATGTAAATAATGTCACCATAGTCAATGAAGGCAAGGAAAGTCGCAGTTACAAGGTGTTTCCTAGCGTTCAGAGTTAGACAGGATTTATTTTTGAAAAAGAAACCCAGTTTAATTTTCAGTTTCTTTCCCAAGTTTTCGACATGAGGCTTAAAAGAGAGATGCAAATCGACCAAAATACCCAAGTATTTGTAAGAATTGACATTCAATAGGAACACCATTCGCAGATAAAATAGAAGGAAGGACTGCTGGTACCGACTTCCTGTTTGAAAACAACATCCCTTTGGTTTTGTCAGCGTTTAGTACAAGTTTGAGACGGAACAAATCTGACTAGATGATCTCAAAAGCAGACTAAAAACATTAGCAACTGTTTTAGCTGATAAAATGCTTGTAGACACACGAGTCAAACTCCCATGACCTCCTTAATTCTACAAGGGTGAAAACAACCAGCAAATCTGAGATTGGACACATTGTTGGAGACACTTTTCCAACTCTGGATTTAGCATCAATTTCCAATTACTAAAAGTGCTGTGTTGTCATCATTGTATGTTCCCATACAAATGGTGAAACTGGTTCTCTGCATTTAACCCATCACACCTGGGATACACCCAGGTGGAGCAGTGGTAAACTGCCCAGGCAGCAATTAGGGATTAGGTGTCTTGCTCAGAGACACCACAACATGTGGGAACGGTTGGGGATCGAACCTGGGACTTTCGGGTCCTGAGTCAGCTGCCCTACCTCTACCCCATCTCGGCTTGATGCTTCATTGAATATCCAGACATACTGAATGACAAATAAGAAATTGCTTTACAAATGTCTGAAGTCTAAGAGCAGCAGCTGTTTGAAAATATAAAAATAATGTTCCTAAAGTACACCGAGCCGGTGCTGTCTGTGTCAGTTCTATGGACTTATCAGAGATATTTTAAATGTTTTTTTTTTTAAACATCATAACTCCATTGAATCTTTTAACGGTTGTCTGTGGAATTCCAGTTTGCTTTTATCTTCTCCCTCTGCTCCGAACCCTCGAGATGTTAATCTCAGACCATTCCATGCTGGCGTTTGCTCCTTACTGGTGCCTGTGGGGCAAAGAAAAAAGTTGCTGCACAAGCTGTCACTTCCTGGAATAAGCGTTTGACTTATAAGGGGGTGTCAGTGCATATATCAGTTTAGAGGGGGGGAAGCAGCAGGACAAAAATACACCCAGGGGGCCAGGCGGCACCGCTACCGGCTGACCTGATGGACTGCTGTCAGATGAGAAAGGCCAAGTTGGGTTTGAGCGTGTCAGAGGATTTTCCAACCAGTTGAAGGCTTGAGTTGTTCAGGAGTTCTTCTCACTTTTAGTGGTCAGTTTGATATTCATTAAGCAGATGAGGTCTTTTGTAATTGTTGAAAAATAATCCTATATTTAGCTTTAGGAGCTGAGAGTTTTCCGCCCAAAATACTCGAAGCGCTAACAGATCAGGCAGGATCTTTGTTTAAACCATTAGCAAGCAAGGTAGGTATCTGCTCCTTTATGGAATGCTAGTTTCACATATTTAGCTGTTAAAAACCACTGATATGACATGGAATGTGGTAAATCAGTGATTTATTGAGAAGGAACAATCTTTAAGCACATTAAGCTTCTTTTCCGTTTACTTTTCGTAAACTTTTGCAGTTTTAAAATCTCAATAAACCTTTATTGAGTTTTAATCTGTAGACTTTAAGCTAATTTGTTTCTGTTTCAGTCTGAAAAAAATTACAATAAGTTTAAACTCTTCTGGTCAAACCGTTGTTGTATCTGGCCTTGAATGTTTCTGAAACACTTTTCTTTTGTGGCGTTAACTTCAAGTTTACAGATTTCTCCATTTGACTGAATTTCAGTGGTTTTTTTGTTTGTTTTTTTTTGGCGAATTTGGCAAAGATACAACACTGCACACATTCACCACAGGGGTCTAATTTTGTCATCCGCTAAAATCCCATATACCTCTCCAGGACATGCAGGGGTCCAAATCCTGCTTCATAAGTTGAAAGGCTTAGAGAAACATAAAGTCTAGACAATCTTTTTATTTTAAAACTGTGGAACAAACACAAATTGCCAGAATATTAAAATATCACATCCAGCAGGTTTTTTTTGCCTGATGGTCAAACAAGTAGTTTCAACTCAAAACCCTCTTAAACTCACTGTAGTTGCGTCATTCAGTTGCTGTGCAATGTGCACACACCAGCAGGTTGAAGGTGTAATCTGAGCCCTAATTACTGCACTGGGAGGATTAAGAGTTTGATTTCATGGCTCACGTGAACCAATTAAAGCTTCTCTGAGCCCAACTAAACATATGGCGTTAAAGCCGCGCAGCAGTAATCTGTGCTGTAGAGCCTTTACTCAACAGCAAGATTAGTCTCAGCAGAAGGGCTCCAGTTTGAACTTGTTGTGATTTGTATCACTAAGATGGGATGGAAAATGTTTTTCTTTCCCAAACATACATTTCATTTAGTGTCAGTTACCAAAAAAAGAGATAAAAGCAATGCAAATCATTAGCAGTCACGGGGAAATGTGTAGGAACTTTACTAAAATCAGAATATCTCATTTGAGTTGCAAACGTTTAACACATCAATACATTTCTTGATTCATCGGAGCATACAGGAAAACAAATCTTACTAAATGAATGGAACATATAACCCGAAACCCAAAGAAAAATGTCAGAAAGTTTAGTCAATTATTAGCAAGGATAACTTTACAGGATTACACAAAAATCTGGCTAATAAAAGTAAAATACAATGTAACAACTAGGGATGACTCAAACTTTGTACAGAGCCCTGTAAGTGACACGTGTTGCGATAAACATAAAGATCTGCGAAGTCATTATCCTCGGGTTAGTAAACCGTACACACAGATCGATGACTTTGTGCAGCAGGTTTTGTGCTGAGCTGACGGGGTTGACCTACACGGGAAACAGAAATCAACACAACAGCCCTTGAAGTGACTTAACAACCTGATTAGTCCTCATTGAGAGAATGAACCCAGAGGTTTATCTGTTGTTCATTCTTTTCTTTTCTTTTTTTAAATAAATACATTTTTTTTAATTTTCCGTTTTTAAGAACAAAACACAACACAAAACAAAAGCTCAGCAGCGCAGTCCGAAAGAGAAACCAAAGAAAGTTAGGGGGTTTACATATTTTCATCTTTTTTTTTTTTTTGTCCAATCTAAGAGTTAATAAATGCTCGAGACAAGATGGTGGGCACGTGTTCTTCAGTAAAGTCCAAGAAGGGTTTCCATATGCATCTGAAAATATCAGTCGTTGAGTGGACGAGGCATGTTGGAAAGTCAAGTGATGTATTCCAAAATAAGCTTCCTGCACCCAAAAACAGTAGGCGACTTAATGGAAATCCATTGCAGTAAAATATTCTTTCGAGCACAAAAGGTTAGAATATTATACAACTTATTCAAGTTTTTGTTTTTAATACAACATGTTTACTTGATAGACCAAGGAGGAGAGAAACTGGATCAAGACAGATGTTAATTTGGATAATTTTCCTGATTTCAACCAGAATAGATTCCCAGTATACCTGGATCTTGGGGCATGACCAAAGGCAGTGTGTGAGGCTGCCTTCATGCATTTTACATTTAGGGCAAAGTGAAGAAGACCCGGGTTTAAACTACCTGGTTTGGGTCCAAGTGAGCTCTACGCAGTATTTAAGTTGCAGAGCCCAGGAGCGATTACAAATAGTATTTTTCCTGGCAGAGTTCCAGATACTCCACATTTCTTCAGTAATCTCAATATTCAGTTCTCTTCCACAGGTCTGGGCCAGAGTTGGCGAGTCAGACTTATACTTTCATTTTAATGTTTTATACCACAAACTAAGTGACGCTTCACAAGTTCTGAAAAACAGTTTTTCAATGGCCGAGATCTCAGTGTCGTCAAGTAAATTTGTTTCTTTTTTAATCAAATCTCTTTATTTGGGAAAAAAATGGAAGAGATTGTTTTTCCCTATTCCAAAAGTTATTGTTCATTCTTTAACAGAATGATGTTTGCTGGCAAATTGAGACATTTATTTCAACACCTGCTCTTGTTGTGCTCCATACTGTTCTTTCTTTTCTTTGCACCGAACTGTATGAAAAAGTCAGAAGCAGCCATGGAATCAGCCAGAAATGGCCACAGATCTGGTGGCACGTATACTGACTCCACATCACATCCAAAAACAAAAATATGCTTTGGAGAAATTTAGCAGCTAAACCACTGCCACTTATAAGCCTCACTACCAAATCTTTCCTTTTAAGGTCATTTCTGTTTACCAACTCTCCCATACAACCTTTGTACCAAACACCACAATCTCCATCATGCCTTTTATTATCAAACTGTATTCACGGAAACAACCTGTGTGATCTGATAATGATAAAGGAATAATTTAATCAGCACTCCCTGTTGATTGCCTGCTGCACACACACCTTGTTATCTTACCTTCTTTATGAGACATCTGAAAGGTCAACTCCATTTAATTAGAGATCTTAAAGGCAGCATTCTTCTTCTGTGGTACGTATGAACATCATTTTGTGGACATTTCAATGCATCAGTGGTGTTTTAGATCAGTTTTTAGTCACCCCTTTCTACGATTGTTTGATTAAACAACTCCACACCAGCTTTGTTTCTATAAACCTCCCAGGATGGGAAGCGCAACATCTTCAGCTACAGAATAGAAGACTAGTAGTTTTGTTTTTAAATGTTTTTTTATTTTTATTTTCTAATCCATTGTCAGAGATGATCGGTACAACTTACTTGGTGATCTTTTGCTGTTGCTGGCAGGTTAATACAAATGGTTTATGCCTGATCAAATAGTTTGGCAGCGTTCTGGGAAAATACACTCTTATCACAAAGACTTGAGTTACAAATACAATTTAAAAAGATGTTCAAATAAGAACATTTGACTTTACATTTAGCTTTTTTTGTGTGTTTGGATTGAGGCACTTCCCTAAATTTGAGGAAAAGTTATTTTCAGTTTAACAGTTTTTGCTTGAAAATGGTTTAGATTTTTTCCCTCTGTGTGAATCTGAAGTGATTTTCATGCATTTAAATTGTGTCTATCTAAAATTCTCAACTGTCCTCTGATCTTTACATCAAAAACATTTGACTGGATGAAAATAATTTTTCCTTTGCTGATGTTTGACAGTTGGAGACAGTATTTTTGATTTAAATCAAGATTTCTGCCCGCAGATTCCTACAGAAGTCTCATTCATCAGTTTCTAAATGCAACCATTGACCTTATTCTCATCATATCTTCCTGTAAGATCAGAGGCTGTTCTTTCTTCAGTCTCAGTGTGAGGAGGTTTTGTTAGATGCTTTGTTCAGAGCCACTTAAATACAACATATATTTAAAAAAACATTACATAAGAAGCAATTATTTGTATCAAAGGCCAAAAATGTAACGTACTGGTCATCATGTGATATTTTTAATGTCCTTTAGAGGCTCAGTGATGATGGTTCTTGTCTGTTTTTGTTTCTAATAATCATTTCCTGTTTGGGTTATTTTTACTGTCAATAATAAACCATCCATTATCTCCATCCATTATCTTTACCCGTTTATTCCATTTTGGGTCACGGGGGTCGCTGGTGCCCATGTCCAGCAATCACTGTGCGAGGGGCGGGGTACACCCTGGACGGGTCGCAAGTCCATCACAGGGACACATAGAGACAAACGAGACAAACAACCATTCACTCTCTCACTCACACCTAGGGACAATTTAGAGTTACCAATCAGCCTAACATGCATGTTTTTGGTCTGTGGGAGGAAACCGGAGCACCCGGAGAAAACCCACGCATGCACGGAGAGAACATGCAAACTCCACCCAGAAAGGCCCCTGGACCGGGGTTTGAACCAAGGACCTTCTCGCTGAGAGGCAGCAGCTCTACCAGTTGCGCCACCGTGCTGCCCTCAATAATAAACCTTTTTATTAAAATTAGTTTTAATTTGTAATACATGTGTCAATTAAAGTAACTCAGACTTGTGCAGATTTGCAGTGACAAAGACAGAAATAGCTTAATGTGTCTGTACTTCCTGTCATCAGTGACCCACTTCTCTGCTCTGCAGTCAGCCGTCCAGGGAATAAGAAAAATGTCAGTGATGGGAGTGTGGTCCCTCTTACAGCCTCTTATCTCAGGGTTAAGTACGGGTGTGTCTCTTTGAGCTATGGAACTGTCTGATGTGGTCAGATATTCACTAAAATGTTCCCCCTTGAGTTGAAGTTTTCAGCAGTTCAAGTGTTTACTTAGTTTTTTTTTGTTTTGTCTTCCTCTGTACTTTAGGAAAATTGAAAAAGGGTATAAAATGAAAGTCTTAAATTCAGTAACAGCCGCTTTTTCCAGCAACGTCAATTATTTTAAATGTAGATAAGAAGAAAAATATAATTAAAAAACCAACCACCTCAATTATTTGAGAAAACTGATTTCAATTTTTTTTTTTTATTTGCTTAAAAGTAAAGTTTCCTCAAATGGCGGCCACCATTGTGCCTGGTGGTGGATAATGTTGCTCCCCCCACTCCACTCTCTCCAACACTCTGCTGCTCTGCGCTGCCTTGGAGAAGAAAAAAATACACCAAACTACTCTGTTATAACTCCTTCTCACTTTAATATCTTGCACCAAAATCATTAGTATTTACTTACATTCCTTGTTCAAATCCAGCTAGGGCTTGGCGATATGGACCAAAATGAATATCTTAATATTTTCAAGATAAATCGCGATATACGAAATATATCTTGATATTTTTTTTCTTTCAATAAAGTAATAACAAAAATATATTTCTGAGTCAAAGCTTTGTCCCAGTTGTCACACAGGCACATATAGTAAACAGCTGTAAATGTACAATATAAATGTCTAAAAAATAAACTATTAACATATATTAGTTTATTTTTTAGACCTTTATTTACATATATTAAATAATAATCCTCTTAAGCTGCGCTGCCTTCATGATGTTAGTAAGCGTGTGTTAAACGGCAGCTGCAGCTCCGACTGACTTCAGCCTCCTTCCCTGAAATCAACATTAAGCAGCAGCTTAACATATCGCTAAGACACAGTCCCGGTCTCAGCTGTGGAACAAGACGGCTAAAGCATTAGCCGTCTTGTTAGCTGCTAAGGACCATGTTTTTAGCGATATGATAAGCTGCTGATTTATTAATGTCACCACCTCTCACTGTTTAGCAGCAGGTGGCTTTTCAAGTATAACACTACAGTATATTGCTTATAGCAATATTCATTCAACCTTTATTTAGACAGGTAAATCCCACTGAGCCTCGAGGACTCATTTACAAGAGAGACCTGAATCTAATATCGCAAAAAATATATATTTAGATATTTTTTAAATATTGAGATATTGCCCAACTCTAATTCCAGCCCAGAAAAATTTATCTTAAAAACTACAAACATTCATTGTTCAAATCCCTCAGTGAAGATGGACATCAGCGTACCGCTTGGGTTCAAACAAAAAAACATGCTTTTTGAGGCCATGTTGGTTTATTAAGGAGAAGGAATGTTCACGTGTTTCTGTGTGAGGACAGGAAGACGTGTTCATGTTGGTGATCAACTGATCATCAGATGATTGTGTGCTAAAAAATAAATTTAGATTTTACTTGAGCTTTAACCACTCAGGGCTTTGAGCGTGATTGAAACTGGTTTTAACTGGCCTTTTCATTTATTTTGCCCTTTGACAACAACCCCCCCCCCCCTTTTTTTTTTCCCCCTCAAGATACAACCACAGCGTCCGCCTTGTTGTAATTTTAGATCACCAGTTTACTTGTGGGAACTTTTGCACCGTCACACCAGTCAAAGCTCGGAGGTTCACACATCAGTTCATTTCAGTTGTTCCCTGATCCCGGCTCAACCACAGATGACAAAACCATTTGTCAGGTTTGCTCTGTTCTCTGGAAATACATTGCACACGAGAGCTGCTCAGATCATTGATCAATTTTTATCGATCGATATTTTTTCTTTGGCTTTTAGTCAACTGGACATCTTGAATTTGTTTTATTTATTTATTATTAATTCTCTATATTTTGGGGGGATTTCATCGTGTTTGAGTTTGTTGCATTTGTATTATTTATTGATTTTATACCTTCCAGTACAGCTCTTTGGTTACAAAGAGTTGGGTTTATTTAAAAAAACAATACCAATATAGTTTTAAGAAAAGTTAAAACAAAAATAATTTAGGACTTTTTTGCATTTGTAAAGAGTTAAGCCTCATCATGTGTTCTGGTAAAACAATAAATAAATAAATAATGGCAGCAGTAGTTTATGCAAAAGGTGTTTTAAAACATTCTGAATGTGACCTTGGTTTGTCTTTAGCTCTAATGGACTGCAGGAGCCTAAATTAGCCAGTTTATACGCTGAAACCTTTTTTGAGTTTTAGAGTTCCTGCAGGTGTTCTGCAAGTGTTTTAAACATTAACAGCTTTGATTACACTAAATTATTTCCCAATAAATGTTATCTTTTGTTTGCTGTCAGAAATCAGTGAGTCAAAGGTGTATACTTGTGCGCCTGCTGGAATCCAATCTGTTGTTTTCATAGAAGTAATTAAAATATTAAAAAACGAGTAAAATGCAGAAGAACCATAATTATTCGTGGCAGGAAAAACCAAAGTAACTGTGAAATTACCCATAATGCCTGGTTTCTACAGAGTTCAGTGTCCTGGATGAGACTTCTGTTTGAAACGTTCTGTTTTTGTGCAGCACAACCTTTCACTTTTAATGATTAATAAAACTTTTTCCGAACTGGAACATCTCTGTCCTTTACAATAAAATTACTGAAAAGCTTTTATGGTCTTTTCGGTGTTGATAGTTAAATATTGAGTTTTTTTTGTTTGTTATAGTTTTGTGCTTGTTTTTGATCACTGGTGATGCTGCTGCTGTGGCTCGAGACATTTGTTAAGCTGAAACCAGCACATGTTCATGCAACCTTTTCTGATACCTTCTTGTTTCTTGATTTCTCCTAAAGGAGACGCGTGCCTCCGAGCCGAGTCGAACACTTTTGAATTCCATGAATTGCATTAGTGATCTGCACCTCGGCTCTCCCCTGTAGCCGGATGTTTCCAGTCTGATTCACCATTCCTGTCCACAGCGGGTCTTTCCAGCTCGTCTCACTTTTTCTTTACTCTTCACGTCTGGGTTGTTGACTCGGCACTGATCTCCCCTTCAGACGTGCACTAAAACAATCCACAGTCCATCGACTTCACACTGCAGTTATGCTGTAAATTAAACAAACTTGTAAATCGTTGAACAGGAAGCAGTCATTAACTTTGCACTGTTTATTGAAGGGCAACTTAAAACAGCTGAGATGGCTAAGCGTCTCGTAAA